AAGGAGCCTTTCCCTACAATTTCAAAGGGCCAAGGAAGGTTTTTTGGAAGGGGAGAGGTGAACAGAAAAGGGAGGAGGATGCCAAACTGTACGCACATGTGATACCAAACCATATATGTGTCATAGAAACTCCACGGGGATTTGCCTACGTTGGAACAGGGTGGTGCGGAGGGAGTGAGTGAGGGACTATGGGCCTTTCTCTCCTACTTCCCCGTATACGTAGTTTTGTTTTGTGACCACACAGTTAGTGACAACGGAAGGAGCAGACTTCAGTTAAAAACCCACAGTGCTTGTTTGGTGACATGTGATCACTCCGATACGGACGGTGAGTTTTTAGGACCCGTTCCCGTCTAGGTTCAGAAGGTGTTTTGAGCACGTGAGTGAAATCCTCTTTTCGTTGTGTAGCAAGAAGCCAGCGTTTGCCTGAAGAAAGGCCCGAGCTTGATTCCGAATGAATGTATTTGAAGGTGACTTTGAGGTTTGGCTGGACGGGTTTTCTTTTGTCCCATGGTGCTTGTGGCACCCGGGAAGGTGTGTGACAGCTGTGGCCTCACATGGGGTGACAAGAGGTGGCCCACGGGCAAGAGGAAAAGAAGGCGGCAGCTGGAGGCACCTGCACCGGCGGACTCGCGAGGAGCTGCTCCGTGAAGAGGGATTCCTCCCGATGCATCGGCTTCTTCCGGTAGCTTCCAGGGCTGGGTAGTTTGCTCTATGAAATGATCCAATCCATCTCCTATGCGCTTGTCTCCTTAGCAATCAGCCAGGCAGATCTGACCACTCTTACCCGTGTCCAGGAAACGCCGCTGGGGTGTTCCTTGCGAGGATCACATTTTGGTTTCTGACAACAGTAGGAGGACATGGAGACCCTCCTGACTGGGATAGAATTAATGGTAAACGAAATGTGTTAAAAAATATCCGACAACAGGCCTTGAAGTGGTTTAACTGCCCAGGCGACAAGCCTGTCCCTAATCTGGTTGGCCCTATGGTTTCAAGATTTTCACACCCATCCCCCATCCTTACACACACACACACACACACACACACACGCCCCTGTTAAAGAACAAGCAAAAGCCTGAAGCACAGCCACACTTACAGGCGGGCAGCTTTTTCCTCTTACTGGAAATCATTCAGAGTGAGTTGCTGTAACTAGATCATTCACTGGTTCGCGTCTGTGACAAGTTAGACGAAGCAGACTGGGTGTCAGTGACCTTTTTCTCTAAGTGGAACAGAAGGGGACACTTTTCCAGGAGGTGGAAAGCCCAGTGGGCGGGGCCCATGGAGGCAGGTACAGCCCCCGGCCCCCGAGAGGTCACTGCAGCTGACAGACCCCCCCACCCCCTGCGGGCCCCCAGGCACTGCGGCACATAAGCGCCTTTGCAGACGAGATTACAGCAATTCACACGCAGCAACGTGGCCTAATCCCCAGGTGTGGAAGGGCTGGACCAGCTTCCCTGGTGACAGGAAGGCACAGGGGAGACTCTGGAAGCCCAGGGCCAGGGCAGAGGCCCTCAGCAGCCACACACTGCCCCACAGGCATGCCACCTTCCTGGAGGATGGGGGTTGAAAGGCAAGAGACTCTGCACACCCACTATAACCTAACGCTGTCCTCAGGAGGGGGTTGTGGGGACTGTGCTTATGAGCACGTTTTACTTGTGGTCACACAGTGGTGGATGGAGGGGGCTGCGGGGCACGCCCGCACCTCCAGGGCACAGGGTGGAAGCAAAACCTGACTGTTCCTCAGCTCGGTCACACATCCTGGCAAACTGTGTGAGCCTCCCGAGCCTGCTCGGGGCACGGGCGTGTACTGGCAGTGTCCCCTGCACCAGCTGCCGGCAGGGCACGGGGCACAGTTGGCTGAGTGGGCGCTCACTTGGGCTTCGTGAAGTAGGATGTGGTTGGGGGCGGGGCTGGGCAGGAAGGAGGCGTACACGGGCTTTGTCTGCAGGCACTGAGAACCGCATCGCTGGGCTGAGGGTGCTTGTGGGGTCCAGGGCGAGGCCGGTTTCTCCTGTGTCCTGGGCTGGGGGAGGGACCCGTGGCAGCCTCTGCCCCCTCGGTGATAGGGACCCCACCTCCCTGGCTCCCAGCATCTACGCTGCAGCCAGGAGAGACGGTCCCATGACCTGTATTTCACGACCTCTGGCCCTGTCTCCCAGCATGCAAGTCCTGGAATGCTATGACCCACGTGCAGCTACGTGTCACGCCGGCCCACAGTGACAAGTGCTGGGACAGAGGTCCTGCCATCCAGAAGGTGGGGTGCAGATCCACGCAGGGCTCCCACACACGCACCCAGCCCTGCCTTGTGGCAACACGCCCACCGAGTCATCAGGTCAGACAAAAGCGGGTCTGTTTCACCTCACAGCCGGGGGCTCGCCCGGGTCCATGTGCCCCAGCGATCATGCACTCCCCTCCCCTGTGTGTGAGATAAAAACGCAGTCGGTGCTGGCTCTGCACAGGTCACCACCCCCGCCCACCCCCTGCACGGTCCCCAGTGGTCCTCTGCAGCCAAGGGCTGGGAGGTTGCCCTGAAGACAGATCCCAGATCCCTTGCCTTTTGCCTAGTGATCCCTTCCCCTCTCCCTACCATCTTCCTGCATTATTCCTGATTTTCAAATATTGCTAATGGGAGCCATGTGGTTTTGGGGTTACACGCCATTTCATTTTCTTAACACTTCTCTGTATTTAAAATAGAGTAATGCACGCTAAGAAAAAGTGCAAGGCAACCCATGAAACAAAGAGGTGCACGCTGGAAAGCACTCCGAACTGAAGGGAAGAAGGAATGACTTCCGGGTCAGGAGTGTGGGGCCCCAGGTCACAGCCCACGGGTGCTGATGGGCAGACCAGACAGGGCGCCTTCCATCGGGAGAGTACAGGTGGGGGAAATGAGGGATGAGGGCCCACCCTGTGGCGTGCTCCCAGCGTGCTGACACCCATTCTGCCCTCGGGGACTCCAGGGAGGGAAACGGCATCCCATGACCACAGAATTCGGTCCAGCCCTTTTGGCTGAGCAGTACCGTGGCGGTCGGCGAGAACAAGCCCCTTCTGAACAGTGGCAGAAGGGGGCCAGGAAGACAGCAGTCGGTCCGAGTTTTAAAAGACTGGCAAGCCCTGGCTGGTGTAGCTCAGTGGATTGAACGCAGGCTGTGAACCAAAGCATCGCAGGTTCGATTCTCAGTCAGGGCACATGCCTGGGTTGCAGGCCACAGCCCCCAGCAACCGCACATTGATGTTTCTCTCTATCTCCCTCCCCTCTCTAAAAATAAATAAAATCTTTAAAATTTTTTTTTAAAAAGTATATAAAAAAAAGACTGGTATGATGTGAAAGCAGCAGTGGGGACACAGCAGTCACGAGAAAGGAAGGAGCCAGGGTCCCACCTGACGGCCTCGAGGGCCATATTTTTTAAGCAAGCCCGGCTGATCCGCAAAACGATGAACCTGACCTTAGGAAATTCAAGCTAGGGACTGAGGATGTTCAGCGCAAATGTGCCTGCCCGACTTCCGTGGCGTGGACCTTGCCCATGGCCGGAAATGGCAGACCATGATGGAAGGTCGCACTAGCCTGTGCTGGTTTTACTAAAACTAAAAAAAAAAAAAAAGCAATGATCAGATTCAGGAGACCTCTTTGCTTAGCATCAAAGGACCCACCAAATCTGGAAGATAACAGAAATCCCTGAGAGGTGCAAAGGAATCATTCGAGAGACGTGCTCCATAAGTTGACCCCAGGCGTAGAAAAGGCCGGCCAGTCTATGCATCGGCTCCGTGAGGTCTTTGTGGGGAGGGTCGCAGTGCTAGCTGAAGAGAGGCCCAGGTTCGAACTGGGGAAGCTCATGGAGCTTCTCGGTCAAGGCCTCGGCTCTGGAAAACCTGCTGGGGTGAGGCAGGTGCTGACGGTGAATATGCTGATGGATACGGGCCCCCAAGTCCAAGAATCTGTTTAAATTTTAGACTTAATGGTAATGACAAATGAAAAATCCTATTTGTGAGAAAAAACAAGACTCAGTCCAACTGTTTCGCATCTACATGGGAAGGGTGTGGGATGATACCAGAGTGGACAGTGGACAGTGGGGAGCTTCAGCTGCTCCCGGAGGATGGGTCCCATGGGTGGGCCAGGGGACTGGTGTGGGGACAGAGCAAGGCCCCATCAGTAGAGAGACTCATGTCCCCACAGTCTCAGAGCTCAGTGTGGCTGGAGGAGGTTCCTGAGGAGCGGACCCAGAGACCCCACTGTCTGGGAGGAGGTGGCTGAAGCCATCGATTTGGAGGGGTGCTTTCGGAAGAGGGACCCTGGCAGTGGGACCTGGCGTGGCCAGGAAGAGAGTGAAGCAGGTGGTGGCCAGTGGGCACAGAGTCGGGGGAGAGGTGACCGGGGGCAGGGGCTGGACTGACAGGGTCTGGGAGCGTTCCTGGACACTGGACCTCGAGGAAGCGAGGGGGACAGCTCCGTAAGCACCAGCAGGGAAGAGGAACAGACTCCAGCAGGAGTGGGGGCGGGGAGGGAAAGGACGCAGCTCAGCGAAGTGCCCCCCAGACACCGCACGGACCTTCCAGCTCCACAGAGCTGCCACACCCCGTCCCCAATCCCTCCAGTTCACTAGTAGGGCAGAGAGTATTTAAATTACTCCGTCATCAAGCTATATAGACACACGGTGCTCTTCCTTACCGAAGAATAAAAAAATGTCTGTGAGCTTTTTTCCCAAGGGAACAACTCAACACTCTCACAAGGTGAACGGCAATTAGGTGGCGCGGCAGCATTTCCCACTGCGAGCCCAGGGTTGTCACAGCGGGTCCTTGCCGTCATCACCCAGGAGGCACCTGCCCCGGGGGTGTCACTCGTGCCCGCAGAGCTCGCTACCCGAACTGCAGTCCACGTGAACCTCCCCCCCAGATAAACCGAGAAACTTGATGGCTCCGTGTTTAAAAGCTGGTTTTACTCTCCAGATGGAATGCGGTTCTTCGGCTGAAAGAGCAAGAAGGAGACAAAACCATTCTGAAAACGCCAGTTGAAAAATACTGTTCACTGGTTTATTTTTCCAAATGAGCGACAGGCTATTTACAAATGAGCAGATCTCCAACGATGGATATTAACATGGCAAGTCTATGACTGTTTGAAATCTAAATGGAAAAAAAAAAAAAAGTTTTTTTTTGTTTTTGTTTTTATTAAGGCACATTTGATCCGTGAGCTTAAAACAAACTTTCTGGTATAATGAAAGATTCATTTTACTTTTGTTCCTAAAACACGTGAGCACCAAAATTGTCAAAGAACACTTACTTAATATTTAGTAAAACAGGAAGGAATGTAAAAAAAGGAGGTGGGGGCGGGACAGGGGAAGCGTTTTCAAAAGGAAATCTTTGGAGATCAGTTTGCTGCAAAGGAAACACTCTAAACGCACTCCCGATACACATAAATACTAACAACTAACAGGTACTGGAGAAATGGCAGGTCTCTAAACAATGAATATTAAATAAATTAAAGGTATTTCAGATACAAAGGATAAAACAGACGGTAATTAAAGATGGAAAGGGCTAGCGCCACCAAGGTAACACAGGATGAAGAGAAGAAAAAGCAAACACATTTTTTTCCCAATACTTTCATGGGGGCAAGGGGGTTGGTTGGTGGGGTTTTTTTTTTGCTTTAGTTTGCATACATCAGATTTATTACCTTAATTCTTCTTTGCCACTCAACAGATTCATATTTTTTATCCTTGAAAGAGAAGGGTCAGGAAGAAGGAAAATGCCGAATCCTTCTGGGAGCGGAACGCGCCAGGCCTGCACAGACCACACGAGTACCAGGGAGGCTGCACCACCTGATGGCGCCTCCTCGCTCCCCGTGCTTTTCAAACCTCCGGGGACCTCTCCCGACGACGCGGGCACCGCTACTGCCATGTTTCCTTATCTGACAACTGGACCGCACGACGACTGAAACAAACTAATGGTAAAGAGAGACAAAAGGTAGAGACTGTGCATTGTTAACAGTTGCAGCGAGACGGTGCTTTGCCGCGGTAATACTTTGCAGGAACTCCCATTTTCCGCCCCCGGACCGAAGCAGCAGTGGGCGGGGCCGGCGAGGCCACTCGACCGCCCGCCACGTGGCCTCCCTCGGGAACGTTTCAAGTGGCGGCCAAGCAGGTCTGCTGCAATCGGGTTCAGGGAGGGACGTGTGTGTTCGAAGGCAAACGGGATCACATTACTGTTGTTCGGAAAGCTCATCCCCAGAAGGGGTCCTTGGTAAGAAAGTCACGTGTAAAACATAACGCTTTTGTGGGGGGGGGGGGGAGGGCTTCCCAAAAACGGACCGTACAAAAACGATTTCTGCAAAATAAATTAGATTAATTAAAAACGTCTCGTCCAGCGGAGCTGGGCGTCAGCCTGTCCTCGCGGAGCCGTTGTTGCTGCTGCTCCTGCCGTAGCCCGGGTCGTTCTTCTCCAGCCACATCTCGGCCAGCTGCTGCGTGGACCCGTAGGTGGAGGCTTTGGACCCCACGCACATTTTGTACTGCTTGGGGTCGAGGTTGGGGTCGCAGAAGACGGGATGGTGGATGTGGACGACGCCCACTTCTTGGCTCCTGAACGTCTTCAGGCCGGCCTGGACCACCTTGTTGAAAAGGTCCACGTCCTCCAGCCCCCAGCCCTGGATGGAGACGTCGAAGCCGCCCACGCGGACCAGGTCTCCCTTGTAGATACAGGTGATGCCGAACCCGTAGTTCCTCCAGAAGCCAGTTTTCTGGGTGAAGGCGAAGTGGTTCTCGCTGGGGGCTTTGCCGCCGTACACGATCTTTGGGTCGTACTGGCTGAAGATGATGGGGAAGTAGATCTGCTGGCCCAGGACGGTGTTGGCGCGGCAGCGCTGGAGGAACTCGGCGGTGAAGACGAGGTCGACGTCGCAGAAGAAGAGCAGGGACTCGTTGCGGAACTGAGAGGAGCCCACCTCGAGGGCCAGGGCCCGGGAGAACTCGCCGGACACGGGCAGGATCTGCATGTCCGCCCGCGGGTACTTGCTCCGGTAGTCCCGCATGAGCTCCACCTGCTTGGCCTTGTCCGGGTTCGAGTCGGAGTTGAACAGCAGGACGACCAGCTTCACGTTCTGGTTGGGGATGAGGCACGCCTTCTCGAAGTTGCCCATGAACCTGGCGAACATGTCGAAACGCCCCGACAGGGGGATGAGGATGTTGATTTTCGGCTCTTTGGCTTCCCGGCGCTCGCTCTTGGCGCCGGGCAGCTGGAAGGGCACCAGCCTCTTCAGGGAGTTGGAGAGGAAGGACAGGGAGCCGGACTCCTGGTTGATCCTGCGGGCCAGCTCGGCCGCGTCCAGCGCCTCGTGCTCCACGAACTGGATCCTGCTGAAGCTCTGCTGGAGGTAGGCGTGCCTGCGCACGGGCACCGTCATCTTCTTGCCCTTGTGCTTCTTGTACAGCAGCAGCAGGTCCAGGATGTACTCGGCCCCGTACATGGGGTTCACGCGGCGGTAGCCGTACTGGATCTCCTTGAAGTCGATGACGCGGCCCCGGGTTTTGGCGTTGGCGTTGATCATCTCCATGACCTGCATGACGATGTCGTCCAGGGCCTCCCGCTGCGCCGAGTCCATGCCCCGGCGTGGCGGCTGGCCGTCCGCGGCCGAGTACAGGTGCTTGCCCGTCAGGAACTCCCACTCCAGGATCTCCTCGCGCTGGCGGGGCTGGAACCTCATGAAGGACGGGGGCACCCCGAGCTGCAGGTCCTCCTTGTGCGTCTCCGTGTTGCTGTACTTGCTCATCAGCACGATCTCGCGGTGCAGCTGGATGGTGCGGTGGCGCAGCTCGGCTATCTTGCGGCTGAGCACGTAGCTGTGCAGCCGGTACTGGTAGGGCGGGCTTTTGTTGGGGTGCAGTGTGATGGCGCGGTGGATCTTGCTGTTGTGCAGGTCCCTGATGTAGCCCTTTTTGTTCTGTTCGTAATTCTCGTAGAACAGCTGCTGCATCTGATCGGAGGGGAGAAAAAAGAGATGGGCTTTTTAGTGCTATGGGATGGAGCATCTCTTTATTTTTCTATTTCCATATGTACCTGCATACTTTGAGACCTAAATAGGAGAAATCTTTCCATAGTCACAGCCACGGCAGACCAGAGGCCCTAGGGGAAGCACAATAATTTACAGCAGCCCACAGGGATTAGGAGAGTTGATTTAAGAGCTATAAACTGTGTAAAGGAACAGGGCTTCCTCAATACCCAGAACTGGCCAGGATACTTCTGCAGGCAAAGAGAGTGAGGAGAAAGGTTTCCTGTGGAGAAAAGGCATTCACATTGAAAATCCCTTTTTTAAAATGATTTTATTTATTTATTATCACAGAGAGGGGAAGGAGAAAGAGAGAGAAGCATCAATGTGTGGTTGCCTCTCACATGCCCCCAATGGGGGGACCTGGCCTGCAACCCAGCCCTGTGCCCTGAGTGGGAATCAAACCGGCGACCTTTTGGTTCGCAGGCTGGCACTCAATCCATTGAGCCACACCAGCCAGGGCTGAAAATCCTTTCAATGACGACTTGTTCCTACAGCTCGTTTTGTGTGGGCAGGAGCGGGTCTGCCTGCTCAGCACCAGGCCACCAGCACAAAGCCTGCGTGTGGGGTGGGGGCTCAGGACACCAGGCAAAGGGCAGGCCACGCCAGGGGACCTCACTTCCCACCCAGCTCTCCCTCTGTCCTGTGACGGGGGTTTCAGGGGGACGGACGCCTGAGGTCCTTCGGCCGAGTCTGTCTGCTCCCCCAAGTCAGACAGAGAGCACACTTCACTCCCTGGGACGGACGTTCGGGCAACGGGGCGCCTGAAGGATGCCTGCGAAGCCTTGCGGCGTGAAGAGCACAGCTTTGCAGAGCAGGTGAAAACAGCGTCTCAGGTTGGCACCCGACAAATCAGTCCTGTTCCATTTATGGCCCAGTTTTACCTTTTGTTCGTATCGCTCAACACTGACTCTTGAGGGCAGTGACGTGGACTTGGACCGAGTGGTTTACTTGGCTTCGGACCCCTATTTTTAAGTTTTTTAAAAAATTTCTGAGCCACTGCAGCTAACATAATAACACAAAAATCACAGATTAGCACTTTCACAACCCGTTTCCTACACCATACGACAAGGTACCAATAAATAAAGCTAGAAAAGAGTATGCAGGAGGGAAATAACGGGCAAAAATGGCCTTGAAATGTACAAAAAGGGAGCCGGGGACGCCAGCCGGGTTCCGCGCTCGCTTCCCACTGGGTCCTCACGCGGCTCTGAGAGGGATGATCGCCCCCTTCTGACACGAGAGAGGAGGGCTGTTCTCCAGCAAGAAGGGAAGCCCCTCTTCACTGCCGCTCCAAATCTGCTCGGCCCCGCCCCCCGACCCAGGTGCGCATGTGCACACCGGGGAGCGGCTCCTCCCCACGAGAGGACCGAGCGGACACCCTGACCCGGAAGCCCCCCAGGGCCGTGGCCTTCATCGCCAGGGCCTGGCTCCGCGCCGGACACGTTCTGGGGTGCGCGATGGACAGCTGATGAGTGAATGGTAAGCAGGCGAGTCGCTCAGCACAGCAAGTGTCGAGAACCCGCTGGGCGGCTTCGCTGGCGCAGAGGGGCGCGCACGGCGGCGCAGGGGACGGGGGTAGACATGGCCGCACGCACTTGGGAAAGAACGCACAGGGGCAGGACCGGGTTCCTCGGACCGGGACACGTTTTACAATATGGAAACTGGCAGCACATTTTGAAGAAAAATAATGCCTTTCCAGACTCAGGAGGCAGTTGCCCTTTGTTACTCCCCGGAAGACCGAAGAGATAACGGCACGTTTTATTCTTGGCTATCGCGGCCCCCCCCCCCCGCCCCCCGCAGAGGGGACGGCGAGCTCGGATGTGCGCGCTCGGCGAAGGCACGGGCCCCGTGTCCCCTGACATTTTCGGAACCCGTGGCTCGTCCCATCTCAGAGGCTGCCTGAGGCCACCACCTTCCCAGGGACGGAAGTCCGGGCCAGTTCACCTGAGACGCAGGGCGTGTGTGCTGAAGACGTCCATGAGAGAGCGTCCCGGACCTACAGGCTCGTCGGAGCCTCCCATGCCGGGAACCAGGCAGAGCGGCCACGTGGAACTGCGGTCAAGTTCCTGTCGGCACCTTCTGGCCCAGCTCCACAGGTCTGGTTGAAAGGAGTGTTGTGTTAATATATATACATATTTTTTAACCAAAGAAATCTACCGCGAGACAAAATTAAGTGTGTGTGTGTGTTTGGGGGAGGGAGCACATATTTTATTCAAAATGAGGGCAGGTCTATGCCTCCACGGGCCAGTGTCCCCCCCCCCCCGCATCACCCCAGAGCGTGCACTCAGCACACTGACGGTGCCACGGGGCACGTGTCTCAGACAGACAGGCCACCCACCTGACCGACTGGATGGGGACATGCCTGCTCTGACTTAAGGAAAATCTAAACAAACAAAAAATATTTTTTTTAGCTTTTATTAAACGCATTGGGGTAACCCTGGTTAATCACGTTTTATAAATTTCACGAGTACAACTTCATAATATGACAGCTCTACACTCCATTCCGTGCTGGACACCGAAGTCCAATCTTCCGTCACCGTGGATCTGACCCCCTCACCCTTGTCCCCCGACCCCCCCACCCCACCCCGGAAACATACTCTGCTGTTTCTGTCTGTGAGTTTGGCTTTTTGTTTGCATGTCTGTTCATTTGTTGCTTTCAGTTTTATACCCCACGTATGAGTGGAATAATATGGTTCTTGTCCTTTTCTGTCTGACGTCTCTCGCTTAGCGCAATACTCTCGAGAGCCACCTGTGTTGGTGCAGATGGCAGTGTTCCATCTTTTTTATGGCCGAGGAGTGTTCCACCACATACGTACGTCCCGCATCTTTACCCACTTGTGCACCGAAGGTTGTTTCCACGCCTTGGCCAGTGTGCGTAGCGCTGCAACAAACATGGGGATGCACTTATCTTTACAAGAGTTTTTAATTTTTTTTTTGGTAGATAGTCAGAAGTGGAGTTGCTGGATCGTGTGGCAGCTCCGGTCTGAATCTTCGGAGGCATCTGCCCGCTGTGTCCACAGTGGCCGCACCATCTTCCAGTCCCGCCCACGGCGCACAGGGGCTCCCCTTCCTCCCACATCTGCTCGACACTTGTCATCCAGGCGGAGTGTCAGTGGGGCGTTCAGGCCAGGTGAGGGAAGGACGGTCCAGAAATCACCTGTGGCTCACGAAAGGGAGGCGGGAGGGGCACAACAGGGAAGCCGGCGCTGGGTGTCTGGCCCTGGAGTCTCTGGCTCCCCGGCTGCACCTCCGGGGCAGCCCTGGCTGTGGGCCGGGAGTGCACAGCACCCCTCAGTCCGCCACCCCCGCTTTGCACCCACATCCCAAGCTGCCCCTCCCACCCACCCCTTCCCACCGAGTGGGCTCAGTGCTTTCGGACCTCATCTCCGCCTTCGTGGGACTGTGGGTGCTTGCACTTGAGTTCGGAAATCCTTCGTAAAATTCCTCAGATTCTCTTTCTTGGTTTGTTGTTTACTTCGACAGGTTTCTAGCTTTCTCTGCTGTCGCTTGGGTTTCCCTGACCTTTTTGCTTTTCTTTCCACACGTCCGGCTGGTGGCAGGAGGTGTGCTGGGGGGGCGAGATGATGTCGACCACTTGGCTCGTGGGCACTCGAACGAGAAAGGGCTGGATCGTGAGGCTGAACACCCGCACCTCCCACCTTCTGTCCTTCCTGCTGTCCTGTTACGGCGAATCTGCTGCCAACGACGGCGTTGCCCGTGACGCAGGTAAGACTTGATTTCTGAGCTCCGGGCAATTTCCTGGATTCCACAGGATTGAAGTCGCTAAGCCTTAAGCAGTATGATCGGTATGATTGTATGACTAAGGCAAGTGTTTAGTGATTTCCTGGTTACAAAAATGGAACTACTGTTTCTCTGGAAGGAAGTTTACAATGTAACAATTTAAGAAAAATAAAGCTTAAGAAAGGTTAAGAAAATAAAGGTTAAGTGAAGACTCTACGGAGACATTAATTACTTTTATGCTGATACTAAGTTGTGAGACCTTGCTCAAGTCACTTGAATTTGCTGGGTCTCAAGTTTTCTGAGTGACAGAATGACTGTTTCGTGTTAGAGGTTCCTTCAACATAAAGAATTTTAAGATCTCATGTGCTGACCCTAGGACCAGACACCCTGGACTCCCAAGTCTTGCCCTGATGGTGTCCCTCTGCCCATCCTTAAGGATGTGGTTGGAGGCGTTACATTATAACACTAACGGGGCTCTGCCCTCACTGGGTCGAATGCATCTGCAGCACAAGAGAGTGTTATTCACATGTGTTCCCACGAACTGTTTCCAGCCTATAAACGCAAACCTCCGAATGTGCTATGAATTAAAGTGGTTTAAGGATATGAGATCCGTCACAGTTCATTTTAATAACTGCAGGGGCATCACAAATAGGTAAAGTTTTTTTGTTATAAAGCATTTCAGTAATCCCCAATGTGGCATATTCTTTGGGAGAAGATCACAAAATGGGAAGCTGAGAAGTACTACAAAAGAAGACACAAATGAAGACATACGGACCATTTAATCATCATGAGGTTTTTCCTTGCTTTTAACACAGGGAAGGAGATTTTCTGAGATGCACTCATGGCCATGGGTGGTTTCATTTAGTATCCGGTGTCTGTAAACGAGCCCTTTTGTTCTAGAAAGGACCCCATGAGTCTGGGACTCCGGAGAAGCCGCCTGCCAGCCCCCCCCACCCCAATTCTGTGAGCTATCCCAGGACGCCAAGTCATTCCAAGGCAAAGCGGAGGGGGGCTCATAAAAGTCAGGGTCACACTATTCCCAGGACCGGCTCAGCCCAGCTGGGAGCAACCACTCATGCCCCATAGCTAATCTCCCGTGAACACATGCCTTCCACGGTCTCCATTAGCAAACGTCCTTCTCCTTCCGGCGGGGAAGCCAACACTCCCATTAAAGCCGTGGTTCTCCC